CCTTAAAGTCCCAGGCAACCAACCTGGGGTCCAAGGAGGAAGAACGGTGGGGATGCGAGGAGGTTCGGAAGGGTCGATCTTATTTCCATTTTCATATGAAGAAAATGGGACAAAGAGAAGGTAAATAACTTGCTCAAAGTTTCAGATAGTAAGCTGTGAAACCACAATACAAGTTCAAGCTGTCAGAGTGCCGACTGAGGTTTGAATGTGTGGCTAATGTTGCCATTTATTAAGACTGGAGCTAACAGGATGCAGGAAAATTTTGAGGAAAAGTATTTTAGCTTTTGACAAGTTGATACAGGGGTACCTGTGGAATCTACCTGAACATTGTTGTGGTTGATTAATTGAGTCTGGCACTACAGAGAAAACTTGAGCTGAAGACTGAAAGGACATCAATAAATGGATGTGGGTGGGCCAGCTCTGTGGCCTGGTGGTTAAGACAGCCAGATTCCATATGACCAATGTTATCATTTGAGTCTCTGATTGGGTGACTTGAGAAACATGCAGAGCATGTGTGTGTTCATGTACAGAATCCTGAAATAAGAGAGAAATGGAGAAGGAACTGCAGTGTGACCAAGCCCTATGGAGGATGCTTTCTCACTTTCTCTCTCTTGTGAGAGCATGTGTCCTCAAGCAAAAAAAAAAAAAAATGGTAGTGGAGGTTGGCGTGAAGAAAATGGTGAGGCAAACAAGCAGTCACCTGAAGACAAATTTGATTAACTTTAGGATTCACCAGCAAAGTTTTAGACTTGGAGAGTACTTATTTAATTCAAATCCTCTGGCACAGCTGTAGGAGCCCTGTGGCACCAAATGCTTAGGAATTCTTAGGGTTTTTGAGCATGCATCAGGACATATTCATGGTACCTGTGTTAGGCTGAAAAAAAAACCCCTCAAAAGATACCCACAACATAATCCCTTTTAAACTCTGAATTCTTCATATATTAAAAAGAAAAAAAAAAGGAAAAAAGAGAGAAAGAAAGCAAAAAAAAAAAAAGAGCCTTCACAGATGTAATTAAATTAAGAATCTTAAGATGAGGAGATCATCCTGGATTATATGAGTTGACCCTGCCATCACATATATCCTTATAAGAGGCAATTGGGCGGGGGGGGGGGGGGGGGGGGGGGTTGTTTATTTGTTTGCCTTTTAATAATTTGCCAGAGAGCACATGTGCTTGCTGGGGAGAGAAAGAGAGAAAGTAAGAAACCATTCCCCAGGGGAGATGGCCATGGTGCAATCCCTTTACCTCCATTCTCTTGAGATTTGGAGCACACACCCAGTGTGTCCCTCAAACTGCTGGGTCTAGTACTCAAACTGCAGTCTGCCATGTGGGATCCAGCTGCTTTCCAGCTGGCCCAATAGATAGAGCTTATCTGTAGAGAACAGATGAAGTAAAGATAGAGCAGGGAGTGATCTGAAGATGCTGGCTTTGAAGATGGGATCAATGTGTTCCAGGCCAAGGAATGCCAGTAGCCACCAAAAGCTGAGAATTTACAAGAAGTAAATTCTCTCCTAGAGCTGTCAGAGGAACCATGATCTTGCCAGCATCTTGATTTCAATCCTGATACTGATATCAGACTTTTGATCTTTAGAATTATGAGAAAATAAATTGCAGAAATGTGGGGGTACAGGGGAGATCAGGGCCAGCACTTGAAGTGAGACACAGGTTTTTGTCCCATGCTCAGGAAGAACTAGAGACATGCAAACACAGAGAACAGGTTTAGCAAAGCAGGGAATTTATTGAAGGAGAGGGAAGGAAAAACAGGGCTCAAGAAGAAGGGAGAGGTACCAACAAATGGGTTCCCAAGGAAGAACTGAGGTGAGGGGTTTTTATTTTGATCAGTAAGTGCTTTGTCCAGACTTGTTCTAGGTGAGGCTTGTGTATGCATTCCAATTGTGGTGGGGAGGGGCACATGCTGAATGGGTCCAGTTATTTTCCTAAATTTGGAGTAGGTACCAATGTCTGGAGATCCTTTGTCTAAAAGTGTTGGGCTATGAAGCCCATTATCTTATCCTCTTCCTGGAATGTTGTGAGACCTGGAAAAAGTCTTTGTTTTAGGTCTAGGTCATGCTTCCTAGGTCAATCACTGAGCTACCACTGTTAAGATGTCTCTCAAAGGGCAAGCAGCAGAGCTGCTTTGTCTCCATCTTAAAACTTAGCCATTTTGTGATTCCATTTTGGGTCTATGCACTAACTATATTTTTAAGATGTCTGTCTCTTACCATATCAAGCCACCAAGTTTGTGGTAATTTGTTATAACAGCCTCAGGACACTTGTACAATTGACACTCCATATTTGCATGTTCCTCATGCATGGATTCAATCAATTGATAAAAAATAACAATAGTAAATTATGCAGGAGGATGTGTGTAGGTTTTATGCAAATACTACACCATTTTATAAAAGGTACTTGAGCATTTGAGAATTTGGGTATCTGTGAGTTGTCTTGAAACAAATTTTCCCCAGATAGCCAGGGATGGGCTGTGCAATGCTCTTTCTCAAAGTCAGCACTTAGTGTACTTGATCCACTAATCCCTAATTCTTGATAGTCTCAGGCCTCATTTGTTATGTATTAGACACAGGGCTCTTATTATGCATTTTTACCAAGTTTTCTTGGAATGCATGCAATAGGGAGACTTTTAGCTCCATATGGAAGGAAAGGGGGGGGTAGAATATGGGTCTTTTTGTGAAAAGTACTCTACAAAATTGTTAGTTTATAAACCCCTCAATGAATCATTCTTGCAGACCCGGCAGCTCCTCTACTTTCTGAGTTCCTTACCTACATACAGCTAAGATCCTAAAAGTAAAAGGGAATCTGATTTCTGGCCTACTGGTTGGCATGACAAACAGGACAGAATAACTGTCATTCAAGAACTATGGGTAGGGCTATCCCTTTAGCACGGTGGTTAAGGGATCTAGACCCCACATGACCAACCAGGGTTTGAATCCCTGCCCAAGTGGGCTGGAAAAGTATGTGCAAACAAGCCTCGAATCTTGACAAGATGGAAAAATCGAGAAGAGATGGTGGTGTGGCTGTGCCCTATTGAAGGTTCTCTCTCTCTTTCTCTCTCGTGAGTGCATATGTCCTCTGGCAAGGAAAAAAAAACATTTTGTTTGTTTGTTTTTGAAATAAAAGGAATCATGAGTAGACTACATATTAAGAGATGTCTGGAGAAAGAAGCATACATGAAAAATGAATTGGGATTTGTTGCTCTAAAGTCTAGAAGATACTCACAGCAATGCCTTTAACATAGCTACCAATAGTTTTCTCTCAAATGTTAGATTGGAAAACAACTTCTGTGAGAAAGACTGGTACAGGGTCCTAAACACACGTTATTCAATCTGTAAAATCAGAGGGCTTCATAACATTGCTGTCTATTCTCCCCAGAACTCCAAAATTCAAAAGAATTGTGCATAAAAATTATACTTGCATGGATGTTGAAACCAATGTAATAGTAGGATGCTAGCAGGGTAAAATCCTACGATTTTTGGTTATGAACGAAAACAGAGACCAGCGTAAAACTCTCACTGTAACCAATGGGAAAATTGAAACCCAGAGAACTGAAACCATTGTCACCCTTTCTGTACCACACACTTCACAGGTGACTGAACCCCCAGGGACCCAGACTTGCTCTGCCCCTGTATTCCCACCAAATAGTGGGCTGGACGCCAGGCCCTGTGTCGGGGACCACCACACAGCCTTCATCTCAAAGTGCTATTGTTACTCCATACCACTACCATGAGGTACTGCTAGTGAAAAAAAGATAAAACTAGAGTATGGTTTCTATACTTAAGGTAATTCTTACCCTATTCAGGTCACATTTAACTGCAATAACAGGCTAGTACTCATTTAGAAGACAAGGCTGGAGCTAGCAGATGGTATAATGGTTATGCTGCTGGACTCCCATATAGCCAACCGCAGTTCACATCCCGGACCCAGTAGCTTAAAACTCTCGCCAGGCGTGTGTGCGTGCACACCTAACATCCTGAATGGAGAATGGAGGAGAAGGGATTGTGGCCATGGCCATCCATCCCTGATTTCTCTGTCTATGTCTCTCCAACTAGCACATGTTTAAAAAAAAAAAAAAAAAAGGAAAAAGAAAAGCAGGCCTTCTTTTACCTTCCATGAAAGCAGTTTTTTGCTGTTGTTGTTGTGGTTTGTTTTCTTGCCAGAGGGCATGCACACTTATCAGAGCTAAAACAAGAGAGAAAAGGCACCTCCAAATGGGGGCGTGGTTATACAGCACAGTATTCCTATTTTCTCCATTTCTTCATCCTGGCAGTTTTCGGGGCACCCGTGCACGCTCGCCCAGCATGCTTTTCATGCCTCTGGGGCTGGGATCTGAACCACAGTGGGCCATGTGGGATCCCTTCCCTTCACTGTTGGGCTGTGGGGCCAGCCCAAAAGAGAAATTTTTCACCTAATTTTAGCTATTTAAATATTAGGTATTTGTTCCGTAGTCCTGCTTCAGTATCCATAGTGTTTTGCTGGGTCCTGATTCACAGTAATAAAAATATTTAAAAGTGCATTTTTGGGCCAGTCGCTGGCAGACGTTATGGCGCTGAATCTCACATGGCAGACTGTGTGGTTTGAGTCCCAGACCATCATCTTGAGAATCACGTCAAAATCCCAAGACAAGAGGTAGAAGAGGGGATTGCAGCATGGCCATCTCTTTGGGGGGGGGGGGGGAGAGATTTCTCATTTTCTCTTCGGAGCACAGGGCTCTGTGGCAATTATATTTTTAGTATGCTAGAGGACAATAATCCTTCTACCGCCCGATAAGGGGCCCAAAATAAAACTTTTACAGTCGAGATACACCCTTTTGGTTCTGGGACGGAAGCTTATTAGCAACCAAGAAAGCAGCGGAACCTTCAGACTGAATGCTTGCATCTGGTGGGGTTGCTTTGAGTAAAGAACACTTCCTGCCGGCTAGGCTGTAACCTCATTCCGATTGGTGTCACGCTCACGCTGGAAGGCGGGCTTGCGTCAGGGTCACACTTGCCCATTGGCTGCCGACGCGATGGCGGTTTGGAGTAACTGTAGCACGTTGAGCTGAAGGGCTGTGTGGTGATTCGTGACACAGGGCTTGGCGTCCAGCCGGGCGCTTAGTGGGAATCCGGGGCAGGACTGGTCTGGGTACCCGGGGGGATGGATCGCGTGTGGAGTGCGTGGTACGGAAAGTGCGATAAAGGGAAAGGGCCGTCATCATTCTGGTCCCAGAGCATCGTGGTCGCCTGGCTCAGTAGGGCCGAGTGGGACCAGGTGATGGTCTATCTGTTCTGTGACGACCATAAGTTGCAGCGCTATGCGCTGAACCTTTTTTTTTTGTGGAGGAGCAGGTAAGGCGGCAGGCTCGACCCTTTTGCTTGCGTGCTGGCGGCGCCTCACCTTTTCCTTTGTCACCTTTCTATAAAGCTCTATTCTCCAGTCTTCCCCTAAATTGCCTAATGCTACCCTTCTCCCAGGTGACTGGAGGAAAGTTTTGCAGCCAAGCTCTTGCACTTAATCCCATTTGAGAATGGAAAGTAAGGGAATGTCCCTCCACTAACCTCTTGTCTTGAATGTGAGATTTAACCCTGACCTACGAAAAGTGACCTTGTCCTGCTTGGGGAGAGTGCCAGGTTCCACTGGGGCCTGAGGCAAGGTTTAAGGAGTAGGTTAGCAACCTAGGGTGGATTTCAGTTCCAGTTAGGGAGGGGAGAGTCTTGGCTACAAAACCATATTGGAATGGGGCTCTTCAGTTCAGTTGGTAAGAATGAGTTGGGGCAGACTAACAAGGAATAAAGGGCTCCTCTGGCTGAATAGTTTGAAGGGAGTGGAACAAAAAAAAAAAAAAGAGGTCTGCCCACACAGTTGTTGAGTCTGCAGTTAGGTGTCCTGTGTACACTCTAGTCTGCCCCTCATACCCTGCATAATGTTTGATCCCACAGATATTATCGCCTTTTTCCCACTCTGTTGTTTTGTGTCTGCTTATGGGATCTGCAGCCTAGTATATAATGAAAGTAGCCTACAACTGCTTAGGTTCTGATGTGGAGGGTGGACAAGTGTAACAGGCCTTTATGATGGTGATGAACTGTGGCCCTTTAGGTTAGGCAACGAACTCCCCCTGGCAGTGGCTTCTACCGCTGACCTGGTACGATGTAAGCTCATGGATGTAACTGGTGGCTTGGGCACTGATGAACTTAGACTGCTGTATGGCATGGCATTAGTCAGGTAAGACCTGTATGGGATAGGGGTGGGGTTGGCTTTGGGAACTAATGGGAAAATAAGCATGTGATAAGCAAATGTTTGGCTTTATATGCTACCTGAAGCAATAAAGAAAGCCCTGTGTGTTTCTGAGTGTGGGTCAGCCTGTGATTGCTTGAATTGACAGCTTTTGGTACCCTCTGTCAATGTACTCCTTTTTTTCCTTTCTCTTTTCCAGAACACCTTCTCTGTTCCATTTTTCTTTTCTTTTTGGAATGTGTGTGTTTGTGGGCAGTTTAGGTGATATATGAGTCTCTTCCAGTTTTGATAGTGTGATTTTTTTTTGTCACCTTTAACTCCTTACCCAGATTCATTTTTCTGAATGGTTTGAGGTCCTTAGTCATGACTTAATGTGGATCTTCCAACCCTACCCCTATCTAAATATACCTAGCACCATCCCTTTCCTCCCTTTACCCTGGTTAACACTGAAAGATTATTGAGTTGTAGAAGCAGGGACATGGACTGGAAGTTTCTGACTTAAGAAGTGACTGATAGTGGTTCTAGCTGTTTCATACACAGGAAAAAGGTTGCCACTGAATCTTCTCATCCATCAAAACCTTTGCTCACTTCATAGTGTTCCCTTGCCTTGAGGTCTTCCCTTGCTCTTCTTCTTACCTTATCCATTGTTAGCTGTGCTCCTCATAGCAACTGTTGTTGTTATCCTTTGTTCTGGAAATTAAAACATATTATGTCATAACATATGTTATAGTATACCATGATTATTTATCCTAGACCAAACTCTTCAAGGCCAGAGCAGTGTCTTATTCATCTGTATAGCCTCAGTTCAGGACACTCTCAGTAAATGTTGGAATGGATAGAATCATCCCTGCTCTGGCTGACACCAACCATAAAAATAGGATAGGACAGTCAGTGGAAAGGTTGTGGAAATGCAAGGTGTCAGTAACTCAGCAAGGTGTTTAGAGTAAAATGCTTCCTCAGGCTATGCCACTTATTTCTTCTCCAACCCCAGGTTTGTGAATCTTATCTCAGAAAGGAAGACAAAATTTGCCAAGCTTCCTCTCAAGTTCCTGGCTCAGGAGGTACGTATAGTGAAGTGGCCTTGCTCAATATTCTCTCTCCAGGAGGGCTCACTAAATGGGGCTTGGGCTAATGTGGGCACATTCAGACTAGTTTTTACTACCAGTCAAGCCTAGCAAGAACCCTAGAGCTTAAGCTTCCAGCTTGAAAGAAACAGAATTGCTCTCTTGTTCATGACTGGTATTGCAGTGCCTTGGTCTGGCCAGCTTGCTAATGTATTGCTGGGTGGGGATAGAAAAGAGTTGACAGTCACAGTGCCTACCCTCAGGGAGCTGATAGTCTGAAGGAAGAACCAGCTCAGCCAAGCACCATGAAAATGCCAGACATTCCTGCCCTGAGTGAGTATGTGGAGTGTGTAGAAGCCCGGGGGCATGTGTTTCTCTGTCTTTCAGAGAAGCTTTTTGGAGGAAGTGTGGAAGGAAGGGGGAGTGTATATAAAAGGTACCCAGGGAGAGGAACAGGACAGAGGGAGGCTGAAGGCAGTGATTGTTAGTGCCCTAGTCACAGAATGTCTTTGTTGGAAGAGTGTGGTTAATGGGCAGGGAAGGTGGGTACCTTTTCTGATTTTCAAGACTACCTTCACAGAGCAGTAAATAAAAATCAGAAGATCTTGTTTCTAATCTAGCCACTAAGACTTGAACCTTCTCTTAAGAACACAGTCTCTCTATCTATAAAATGGGGAAGATGGTCAAGCTAATTCAGCTGGGTCCCTTCTGGGGTTAATATTTTTAATTTCTCATATCCTCCCTGACAATTAGGTGAAAAAAAATAAAAATTTTTTTTTTTTATTTTAGCCACTAAGACTTGAACCTTCTCTTAAGAACACAGTCTCTCTATCTATAAAATGGGGAAGATGGTCAAGCTAATTCAGCTGGGTCCCTTCTGGGGTTAATATTTTTAATTTCTCATATCCTCCCTGACAATTAGGTGAACATTCCGGATTGGGTTGTTGAGCTTCGCCATGAATTGACTCACAAGAAAATGCCACACATTAATGACTGCCGCAGAGGTGAGACTGCAAGGGGTATATCTATCACAGTTAAGGTCAGGGGCCTAGGCTGGGTGGCAGTAGGGGCATAAGGAGGAGGGTTCTCAACTGGAATCAGGGCCAGGACTAGGGTGAGACAAGTGAGAAATTTGCCTTGGACAAAAAAATTTAAGGGGATAGCCAAAATTCAGTAATTATTTAACATTTTAATGTGGAAAAATCCATAATAACAAAATATCAATGTTTTAAATAAAAAACAAGATTAAGGACCAAGGTGCAACAGTAATGCAGCTGGACCCACATGGGTAAGGTCTTGGGTTTGTATCTCAAGAGCTCCCTGAACACACCAGGTGTGTGTCCACTTGCCTATGATCCAGGCTTGCTGAGAGTGGGGGTAGATCATGGTGTGAAGACCTTGTTGGGTGTCTGTCTGTCTGTCTGTCGCTGTCTTATGGAAAGAAAGAAGTACATTTTAAAAAAGCAAAAGAGGATTAGAATTACTGATTTCCTCTTTTGCTTCAGGATCTGATATGCCTTGGCAGGACACTGTGTTGATCCTGTTTTGATACCTTGATTATAGAGTTTTTGGCCTTCCCTTAAATTTTGCTCCTAAAGTAGTGCCTTATTGCCCTCACCTATCTCACCCTAGTCAGGGAAGAGGGTTGGTTAAAGGCATTGGCCATCAGCAGTGTCATGAACCCATGAATTCTTTGGATATCCATCCTATCCCAACTAAGAACCTCTGATGTTGCCTAACCCCTTGTGTTGGGGAAACTGAAATTTAGAAAAGGGAAGAGACTTTGTCAAGGCCATGTAACTAGTTAGTGGGCCTGGGTTCCAGTTCTCCCACTTCCTTGCTGTTTTTGGCATCCCACCTCTAAGCCCAGTATTGTTTTTTTTTTTTTCAAGAAAAGGTGCCAGTGAGCAGGAGAAAGCAAAGAACAAGGGGATAACCCAGAGTGAGAGAGGATGTTTCTGGATATTTTGAGATTTGAGTTTTGTCGAAACCAAGTCTCTTCCCTGGGGTCTTCTCATAATGCTCACAAGATGAAGCTAGGGGTTGAGAGGGCTGGGGGCTTTCTAGCTGCCTGCCTTTGGCTGGTCCCAGGCATTGTCTTCCTTCCTTCTCTCCTACAGGCTGCCATTTTGTCCTGAATTGGCTCAGGAAGACCTACTGGTGCCGCCAGCTAGAAAGTACTCTGAGAGAGACCTGGGAGTTGGAGAAGAAGGAAGAGACAGATGAAGAGGGCCAAGAGGAAGATAAGAACATTGTGGTTGATGACATCACAGAACAGAGGCTGGAACCTCAGAACAAAGAGAAAAGCACAGAGTTGGATGTCAAAGCTGATGGAGACAGCAAAGGCAGCAAAGAGATGGATCCTCATCAGGAAAAGGCTGAGAGACATAAAGAACTGTATGGTAGGTTCCTTGAGAGCAGAGGTTCACACTAGTCGTATTCCCAGCTTAGCATTTCCTCTGGGGCTGTGGTTAGTCCTGACTTAAAAAAGAAAATGTCACACACTATATTCCTGGCCGCTTTCTATAATGTACTAGCTATTACACTCACCTCACTAACCATTTTACTTGAACCCAGTGAAGTAGGAGGGAAAGGAATTCTAGTTCTCAATTTACAACTAAAGAACTGAGATAAGAGGGGTCAGAATCCCAGCATGGTGAGGGACTGGACTGGCTTCCCCTGATGTCTCCTTATTCTATTTTCAGAAAGAGCTCGAGAACTGCTGGTATCTTATGAAGAGGAGCAGTTTAAGGTAAGAAAGTTCCCTTGACCTCACATACTCTCACCTGCTCCAGCCGCTTCTTCCTTCTTGCTAGCTACTTGAGAGAGAAGTCTGGAGAAGGAATTTGAAAGAAAAGTGACAAAGCATGAGGGAACCTCTCAGAAAGAAAGGGAGAAACTAGGAAGGAGAAAAGAGGAGCGGAGTCCTATTGCCTGATCCTCTACACTGATGGAAGTGAACAGGTGATGAAGTTTGTGGATAATATGCTCATTGGGTGGCAGGGAACAAGTGGAAATAGTGACATAGCCTTGCAGTTCTGCAGCTGACCAGAAGATGGAGACCAAGAGCTTACCTAGAGCAGGAGAGCCAGAGGGGTGCTGCTTTTTTGTTAAGATGACGGTAGCTCGGAAGCCATTTGGCTCAACCTTCCCTTTTCACATGTGAATAAATTGAAGCTATGGATGAGTGAAGGTGCAGACTCAAGGTCACATATAGTTAATACTAGAACCAGGATCAGAACTTGGGTGTCCTGTTTCTCTTTCACCTCTCACCCTTTGACCCAAGGGTTTCTGCTTTTCTCCAACCAAACGTCCCCATTGGACATCTCAGTATTGGAGTGTCTGATGATTAGGAGCCACAGGAAATTCAGTGGTGAGGGAAAGGAAAAGAGGGAGAAGAAAGGCATTTGAGGGTCAGGCTATTTTTAGTTGCAGGGTCAATGGGGGAGTTGTGGACATGCCCCTGAGGGGCAGTGCTGAGAAGTCCTAGGGGAAGAGATCCTGGAAGGGTTGGGAGTTGGGTTATTTTGCTGAACCAGCCTTCTGATGGGACGCTCTTTGCTGGCAGGTGCTGGAGAAATTTAGGCATTTACCTCTGGCCATTAAAGCATGGAATAACCTGTCCCCACGAATAGAAAGCATCTTGGCAGAGCTCAAGGGCATTACATGGGAGAACAGGTATGTAACTAGGTAATCAGGGGCTGCCTGCTCTCTAGGGTAAAGGGTAGAGCCTCACTGAAATTTTTTTCCATATCCTAGCTTGCCAACCTCTGTTGTGGGAAATCCAGGGGGGTAATCCTGATTACACACACACACATGTGACCCAGCATTCTGTGTGGCCCTCTGCCCCGGTCCTGCCATCTACCAGGTAGGGGTTGCCTATTCTGAGTCATTAGAATGGCCAAAGGCAAGAATGCCTGCTATCCTCCATCCCCTGGCCTGCCATGTTCCTCTCTATCAGGTAGGATGTGGAGCTTTTGGCAGCTAGGAAAAGGCCTTGATCCCTACTACCTCACTACCTAGCCTCTACCCAAGTGTGAGGTAGAAGATACATGGTGGGCACTGTGAATCTTTTCTTTCAAACTGGTGTTGATGGGTATCAGTATCCCCTGGAGAGCTGTGGTTAAGGGAGCAGAAAAGGGGCCTTCTGGGACCTGGTTCCTAGAGACTAAGTTCCTCCACTCTGTGGGCTGGCTTTTTTTGTTTTGTTTTGGCTTTTTTTTTTTTTAATTTCCCAAACTATTGTTTTCAGTTCAATCTATAGCTAACAATATCTCTCACCTCTCTAATGGTTAGAGGATTTTTACCTTACTTCACCTAGAAAGAACTTTACACTAAGAACCCATGGAGGCAATGCTAGACCTTCTCAGTTGGGGAGAGATTGGAAGGGATCTGGGATGGAGTAGGGAGTATGGGTAGGTGGTGTGCTTTATAGGCTGAGATTGCCCCCAAAGTCTTCTCTTTATTCCTAGGATATGACCAGTTCAAAGGTGTTTTGTTTGTTTATTTTCCTTTTATATATGAGAGAGAGAAAAGGAGAGAAATGGAAAGTTTTTTTGTTTGTTTGTTTGTTTTACAATGCTATGAACCTCCTGACCCAGCCTCCCAATTACCTAGGATTACAGGCGCAAGTAGTCATACCTAGCCCATTCAGGTTGACACAGAAACCAGGCCTCCCAAGTGGTGGTACTGTGCACCACCATATTTGGTCCCAAAGGTTCTTTTTTCTTTTTTAGAGAGATTTTTTTCTATAGGGTATATGTACTTGCCAGAGAGACAGAGGAAGACACAGAGAAAGCAAGAAATCACCCCCCAAGGGGGATAGCCATGCCATAATCCCATCTCTTCCATTCTCCTCTTGGGATTTGGGGCATGCATGCACATGTGCCCAGCATGAGTTTTAAACTACCGACTCAGGGACTTGAACTGCGATCAACTCCGTGGGAGTCCAGCAATGTGACCATTAAACCATCTGCTGGTCCCAGGTCCCAAAGATTCTTTATCAGTGTCTTCCAACCTAGGCTTCCTGGTCCACCATATGTAAAGAGGTAGCAGGCTGGGAAAACCACCCTTGTGTTGTTACACAGTAGTATCTGTCTGGTAGTACTGAGTAGGCAGCTGACTGTCTGCTTTAAGTATTCTTTTATATTGACTCCAAATGTTGGAGGTAGATGGAAGGACTATTTCTTCATCAAGCCTGGTCTGTTGGAGGGATGGATCTTAGTATATCAATCCTGTAGGCATTGGGACACCTCTAGGCTTGGTCAGCTAGGAGACCCTCTTGGGAAGCTGCTAGCTCTAGAGAAATCTGTGTGATATTGATGGTTTAGGTTTGAGCTAGATAGAGATGAGAAATTACTCCTCTAGCCTGTTCCTTCAGCCCCTCTACCTTTATTTTGGGTTCTTGGAATCTCTAATAATAGGCCAATAGCTCATATTTGACCCAACAATGAAGTCCCAGGGTTTCTACTTAAGAGGGCAGCCAGGGAGAAGGGTAGAGGACTGGAGAATGGTCAAAAGAAACAGGAATTGAAATTTAAAAACCCTTGACACCATGATTCAAGGCATATAACCCCTTCCTCTGTGGGTTCGGAACCTTTCTCCATTTGGGTTTTGAGACTTATTCAGCCACTACTGGCCTGATTATGGGCCTTAGATCAGCATGTACTTGGTAAATGCTTGTTCACAACCCACTGACCCCAGCCTCTGGTGTAGCCTCTTCCCCAGAAGGCTGAAACCTAAGATCCAACCATCAACTACCTTCTCCCCTTCACCACCCTACCCCTGTCTGTGTTAATTTGGCCAATTAACCCAGAGGCATTAGCTGCCTTTGGGAGTAAGAGAGGTTCTTCTTCCAGTTTCAGTTAACCTTGTGTCCTCTTGTTCCAGGGTGGCTGTGCTGGATGCTTTCCTGGATGATGGCTTCCTTGTCCCTACATTTGAACAACTGGCAGCTTTGCAGATAGAATATGAAGGTATGGTCCTTAGAGCTCATTATAGCCTTAGGGTTCTGTGTTTCCTGGGTGGGAGCACCAGGGGTGGGCTAGGAGGGTGAGGGCTATTTCCTGACATTTCATGGCCTCTAGCAGGTCCCTCAGCTTTCCTGGCTGAGCAGAAGGGGCAGTCCCACTGATATGCAGTAGTGGGGCTGACCTTAGCTGGCCTGGAATGGGGTAGGTGGGCCAGGGCAGTATAGGGTGTGGGGAGTCTTAATGCTATTATTGTGCCATGTTAATTGTGATTTAGCCACTAGCTAGAGAGCTAGAACAGCAGAACGGGAAGGGCCTTGTAGGGTCATCTAGTCCAACATCCTCATGTTACAGATGGTCAGACTGAGGTCCAGAGAGGAGAAAGTACTGACCCAAAGTCACACAGTGAGTTATTGACAAAGCTGAAGCTAGAACCAGAGCTCTTTTTCTTTTATATTTCATTTTTGAATCAGTTGTTGGTTGCCTGATACTAACTGGTTTCTCTCTCCCCACTGTTCTGCTCTCCTGTTTCTTCTTGTTCTGTGGTGGCAACTCTGTTATTTGTGGTGGGGCTTGCTTGTGCACACACACACACCCTCTCGCTCTTACTCTTGCTCTCCCTCTCCCTCCTGTTGCCCCCCACCTCGCAACACGTATCCCTCTCAAACCAGAAAACGTGGACTTCCGTGACATCCTGGTGCCAAAGCCATTCTCTCAGTTCTGGCAGCCCCTGCTCAGGGACCTGCACTCCCAGACCTTCACGCAGGCCCTACTGGAGAGGATGTTCTCCGAGCTGCCAGCCTTGGGAGACAGTGGGATCCGACCCACCTACATCCTCAGATGGACTGTTGAACTGATCGTGGCCAACACCAAGACTGGTGAGGGAAACTAAACCTAGCCCCAGGGCCTATAGCAGCCCCAGCAGGAACATCTGCCACTGTCCTCACTTCCCTGCTGAGAAGTACCAGGCAGATACCTCCCTTGTTAAAGGTTTAGGTTTGCCCAAATGAGTCCTGTGGCAGCAGTGAACAAATCTCCCTCTTTCTTTTTCCTCCCAGAGCCCACTAAACTAGGCAGGAGCAAAGTGTCTTGAGTACGTTGAGAAGTTGGGATGTATAGGGTGGTGAGTCTGGGGGAACAAGGAGTGGCAACCAAATTTTCTGAAGTGAAAGGTTGGGTGGAGGGCTCTCTAGTTACTTCTCCTCAGGCCTGTTCTTCTCTCTCAGGACGAAATGCTCGCCGATTTTCTGCAAGCCAGTGGGAAGCAAGAAAGAGCTGGAGGCTATTCACCTGCTCCGCCTCCCTAGACTGGCCCCGGGTGATTGAGTCCTGCTTGGGATCACCTTGCTGGGCTAGCCCCCAACTCCTTCAGCTGTAAGTCCCTTGAATTCCATCTGGTAAGAAGAGGGTGAGGCTCTGTAAGCCATGGGTCCACACAGCCTTAGAGTGGCTGAGTTGGAAGGGCCCCTTTTAGCAGAGTAAATTACACAATAAATAGTAGCTGCTATCTCTTCTATTATATTCCTAAAGTATACCTCTCATAGTTGCTCAACAACCTTCAGTGGCTCTCTGTTGCCCTCCTAGTGAAGTCTAGGCTTATTAGTCTGACCTTCAATGATTTTTTGATTCTGACCCACCCTCTAATGGTAACCATACCTCCTTTGAGTCCCCTTTACCTAATCTACCCTGGGTTCTATGGTCAAATTGAATATTGCATTGGTTCTTGTAAATACCTGTGATTGTCTCCATTTCCTTTTCTCTGTTATTTACTAACCCTGAGTCACTTCCCTTATACTCATGAAAGCTTTTAGCACCTGATTCTCTTTCTGCTTTCTGAAGCAATATTTGTTTCATTTAGGTGACTCATCTGACACTATAGCTCCTCAACTCCAATGACCTTTATTCACAACTATACTCAGCAACTCATTTCCATCACTCAGAGCTGTTTCTACTTCTGAAAATTGACATCCCAGCCTCTCAACAGTGACGCCAACCTCATGTTATTCTGAAAGTTCTTACCCTTGCATCCCATGACATACATTCTTTATCTGTATCCTGACCTCTATCCTTCCATTCCATAATTCCCTTAACCTTTCTTCTCCTTGATCCTGTCTGTGGTTGACCACTTTAGCTGCTCATCATCAGCGCACTCAGACTTACAAATCACCAAGCTGGGATTGATCCTCCTCACTGCTTTCCCTGCTGAGCTCTGCTGCAGAAAACCACGTTTTTGGCCTCTGCTGAAGAACCCCGCGTGGCCCGGTGCTTCCCTGCCACTACAGACTTTGAATCCTGGGCTAAGCCTCAGTTCTGCTTGTCTGAACTTTTACTTATTTTCTGACTACTGCTTATTCTCAACTATTTAAACACTTACCACTCACCTCAAGTCCCTTCCTCCCATTTTATCTTAGCTTCTTCGAGTGCATGATGGCATCTGGCTTGGCCCCCTTGACCTGAGGTCCAGCCCTTCACTGATTCGCAGCTGTATTTAACCTTGCCATTCTCAGGATGAGGTGGCCCTGCGCCACCTCAAAGCCTGCTCCTTCACCTGTGTTCTGGAGCCACCTATGCCATCATCACTGGAGCCTCACCCCAACCTCTCTCTTGCTCTGTTGGCTCTTGCTCTTCAACCTATGAATGTGCCTGAGTTTTTAACATCTTAAACAAAACATATCAATAACACAAACAAAATCTCCTTTGACCGTGCATCCCTCTGTTGGGTTATCACCAACTTGTCCCTCCTTCCTCTTCAATCAGAACATGTGAAGAGAGTAGTCTCTACTCAGCAGTCTCGATTTCCTCACTACCCTCTTACTCTTCAACCTGTTGCAATTTGATGTTCACCGCTGGAGCTCCTTTGACCTCCTAATTACCAAATCCAGTGGCCCTTTATCAGTCTCTGTCTCCTAAATCTCTTTATCTAGCCTAGGCCTTTCCCTAAGATTCCGCCTCACCTACGTGACTGTCAGACATCTTCCCTTAGATGGTCCACAAGCACCTTAATGTAAACAAAAGATAATTGATCATCTTACTCCTCACCCCAACTCCAAAGTGATCTTTTTCCTGTCTTCCATGTCTCACTTGGTTGTGGAGTCATCTACCTTGTCCTGTTGATTTGAATACTTCCCAATTCTGAGATTATGTGTTGCCATGTTTATTTCCCCTAGTGTCTTCTTTCTTGTAGCAGACTAAGCTTTTCCAAGGATAAGGGCTTTGTGTTATCTCTCTGTGCCCCAGCACACTGCACAAGTCCAGGCACCAAACAGGCCTCAGTAAACATTGTTGAAATGGACTATACTCATCTGTCTCATTGACAGCAGTGGTATCCTTGGCAAGAGCCGACCCAGTGTCTAGGGAATGAATGAATGGATGAATGAACTAAGACTCTCTTAATTCTCTGATTCCCCCTACTGAGTCCAGAAGTCTTTCTTGAACTCTCATGGCATTTGGAACACAGTAATATTTATAAGATTAAAAAATGTGGCCTTGTAGAAAAAGACAGCAAAGGCAAGACCTTCAGGAGATGGGGTTGAACCAAACTGCCACATTGCCAGATGTTTGTGCTCTCGACTAGAAGTGGGATGGGTGGGAAAGTGGGAGAAGAACCAAGAGGGCCTAGAGGAGTCAGGAAGAGTATCCTAGAGGGAGCATTTTAGCAATCCAAACAAGAGAAGGAATAAAAGAAGTTCCAAAGTCCAGAAGGAACATGGCATGTGTTTGTAAGGTTGCGGAAGGACTGAAAAGAGTAGCATGAAGAGCTTTGGACAGGTTACCTTCAAGGTACTTTGCAATTCTAAGTGCCTGCAGAGTGGAAGCTGCTGGTCTTTGAGAAGCCTGGACCTCACAGATCTTCTCCCAACCCAAGTATATAAGAGGGATGTGACACATGCCATCAGTAATAGCGGCTCACTTGGGTATGATTCACTTGGGTGCAGATTCTGCCTTCTCCAGATAATCAATGAATCTAGTCCTCATCACCCCATTACCCAGAGTGGGAAACAAGGTATATGCCCTGGCAGGATGCTCCAAGTCAGTAGCAAGTCTGCAAGTCTGAGTTGGGGCCAGAATCTAGATAACCTGCCCTTGGTTCTGTCCTCAGTAGTGTGGACTAGATTGTACTGTTGGAAAACCATCTGTCATTAGATGCATACAGATCTTGGCTTTTGTTTCCCCTAGAGAAAAAAATAAAAGATATCACTGGCATCTAAATGTCAGGCATAGTGCTGTGGGATTTTTGATTTTTGTTATTGCTTTTTTTTTTTTCAGATGATTTCATTTAATTTAACACAGTAATCTTAGGAGGTAGAGGTAATATACTCTTATTTGACAGATAAGACATTGAGGTTCTGAGGAGCAACATGACTTATTCAAAAGTCACAATATGTTGATATTGGGACAGGAATCTGAGCCCAGATCATGTGAGTTCAAAGCCCACCTCCTTTCCTGCATCTGAATCTGTTACCTAAGTTCTGAGCTATTACCAAGCATGCCCTAGGAGGAAGGTGTGTTTAAGATTTGCATCACCCTTATGTCTAGTGTCAGCCTGGGCACCTGGAGATAGCAGGTAGGTAATAATGCACAATGGGGATATGACATCTTGCCAGTATTAAGTATTGGCAATATTTGTTATTATTAATCATACTAATGGAAAACAGTGAGGAGGCAGAGAGTTTCTCCCTCGCTTTTCCTCTAATGCATCTGGAAGCTTTTCAAGAGCTTCCTCAGCCAGCCAGTATCAATTCAGTTTGAGCCAATGTCCTCTTAGAATATGAAATTAACCCACAGAAAGGGTCTCCCAGTGTCCCAACAGTGTCACTAGCCCCTAGCCCTGCTCCCACTGCCCATTGTCCAAGTGGACGTGTCCAGTCTGCCTGTGGCCAGAGATAAACATCCCACCCAGTATAGGGCTCCTCTGAACCTCCCGTAGCACAAACTCGATACAACCCCTACTCTACCTGTGTGTCGAACAGTAAGAAGGTGCCTGTTAGAGAATTCCCTGGGGGTGCGTGCCCTTTCCCTTCCCTGAGTGCTCCTTCTCAGCAGCTCCTTGTCTGTTGATGATTTTGCTGTTAGCACCACCTTTTCGTGTGCACAATGTCATCATCTTAACTCTTCTCTGCCTCACCCCTGTCTTCAGTCACCAGGCCCTGCTCTCTGTCTTTGTCCTGCATAGCTTCTCTTCCATCTCCACCATCAGTGCCTGAGGTCCTCACTGACTCTGGTCTCAACTGTCAGGTGAGGCTCCTCCCTACCTTCAGGCTGCCCTGTCTGACCATGTCCATGTAGTCACCATTGTGATCTTCACCTATGTTCAGAGGTGGCAAGGGCACTTTCTCTGACTCACACTAATCTTCTCACCCTTCTTTTCCATGACTGCTCAGCATGGGCCTTGCCCTCCAGCCAGGCTACTCTCACTATATGCAGCATGGTGTGCATGCTCTGGTCCCTGGTCCTCCTGGGTCCCACCTACCTCCTGTACAAAGCCCTCCCTGGTCTCCCCTGCCCTCCTCGTGCTCTCTGCCTCCCCCTGGTTCCTGTAATGCCCCTGTAGGTCCGCTGTGCTCATCTGGCTTTCATCCCACATCCTGCTTTGTCTTGTCAACCACAGCTTTTTAAAAAAAATTTTTTCCTTCATTCCAGTCTCAGCTTTAGCTGTTCCCATGGAGGGATCCACTTTGTGCTCCATGCAGAAAGAGCTCAGTACATTTCCAAACTTCTCCTTGGAGGTCACAACAGATTGCTCAGCTAGGCCAGAGAAGAGTGTGATCTGCCATTCGCATGTCCAGCCCTGTAGGCTTATGGGCTAGTTTGTGTATTTACGTAGCATTTTAGCGCAGACTAATAGCTATCATTTGTTACATGCCCACTATGTGCCAGGCATTTTATGTGAGCTTTCTTCGTGACTTCCAAATAGCCCTGTAAGTTAGGTATCATTATCCTCATTTTACTGAGAATACAAGTGAGGCACAGAGATGAACCGCAGCATTTATTCAGGGTCTGTGGTTCTGTTGTTTCTGTGTTCTGTCTGTTCTACTGCACTGCCTTACAGAGGTAGGTCTGGAAGCTTAGAGACCCAAGTTCAAACCTGGAGTGCCAGATTGTGAAGTGACTTGAGATTTTGAATCTTTCCTACCCCATCTCTCCCTTTGCTTAGCATCTTCAAAGCCATGGGGCAGATCCTGCCAGATGAGGAGCAGGAGCAGCTGCTGCGCATCTGTTCCATTTATACCCAGAGTGGAGACAACAGCCTGATGGAGGAGGATGCAGAGGCCTCCCCCATTGGGAAGTCTCCATACACGCTGGACAGCCTGTATTGGAGACTCAAACCAGATGATGGCAGCCTTGAAGCTGAAGAAAAAGCCCAGCAATTAGAGGAACAGGGCAGCCTTAATGATGCCAAGAAAGAAGAGGAGGAGAAGGAAATCTTGCAAGCCCAGATGGAGGAGGAGGAAGATGAAGTTGATGATCTGGAGGAGGAAGAGCACGAAGAAGATGATGAGGAGGATGAAGATGAAGATGATGATGAAGATGACGAAGAAGACAGAATGGAGGTGGGGCCATTCTCTACAGAGCAAGAGTCCCCTACTGCTGAGAGTGCCAGGATCTTAGCCCAGAAAAGAGGAGCTTTGCAGGGCTCTGCATGGCGAGTTAGCTCAGGTAAGAAATCTGATAGTCATACTCCCCACACCAGTTTCTTCCCTTTCTTGTTTTTGAGTCTTCTTCTACCCTAAGGAAGAGACCGAAAGGAGCAGGAGATAGCCAGTGGGAGGCAGCCTGGTGCATGACTGACAGCTGGCTTCCCTCTGTCTTAGGACAGAGCATGTACATGCCAGGGGCCACTGTCAGGTTGCCAGCTGGTTCATATGGGGAATACATTTAGAAGGGATGATGTGGGTGTGGGCACTAGGCAGTTACAAGGGTGGGAGAAAATAGGAAGTGATGGCTGTCTATACAATTCTGAAGGGGGTTTTAACATGCAGTGAAACACAGTGCTTTCTGTGTATATGTGAGTGTGTATATACACATGGAGCTGGCTGGTGGTGAGACAGCATTTTGCTACGTGTATTAGAAAACTCAGGGTGGCGCTAGCTGGTGGCATGGTAGTTAAGATGCCGAATTCCCACATGGCCAAGTGTGGATTGAGTCCCTGACCTGGTGGCCTGAAAATCATGCCAGGCATATGTGTGTGCATCCCCAAAATCCTAGGAGGAGAGTGGAGGAGAACAAATGCGGCATGGCCATCTCCCCCTGGGGATGAAGAAAGAACAAACCCTGGGCATTAAGTCAGAGAACATGGAAGTGAGATCTAAAGAATGAGTAGTATGGATTTTAGGTGAGCACACAAGTAGTGAGACCAAAGCCAAGAGGGGAAGGCAGAGAAAGTTGGTAATGGGAGAATGGAGAACATGAATCTACTCCACTTAATGTGGGTTGAGTGCCCTCATTTAGGTTAGGGAACAGGAACCTCAAGGCTTGGAGACCCATAAGGAATGGCAGAATAGTCTTGCATGTATGTGTGTGTATGGGCAGGTTTGTGTGTATTCACACTAGAGGCAGGAGTATGACCTCTGAGCAGGAGCCTGAGGGAAAGGTGGAAAACAACTGGGCCTGAGTGTGGTGTAAGATGGCTATGTTAGGGAGCAAGAGGGAGTGAGGAGAGGCAGTGAGCGAACTTATGGTTAAAGGTGTACCCTTTGCCCTTGTGTAGACTGGTTTGAACAGGCAGAGGCATAAAGGCCCTAAGTGCTAGGGGCAGGGGAATACATTTATGTCTTAGTGCATGTATGTGTGCACATTGTAACTGTGCTTGCTAGACACATAATAGCAGTGACAGAAATGTCTTGGGGCAAGGAGGGCTATGTTTGGATCTTTGTAGATATAGAAGGGCAAGGCCATTGACACAGGCAGAACTGTATGTGTGTGTTGAGGGGGAGTAGGGATGAGAAGTCATTGCACAGCAGGCTTGTGTACAGTACAACCGGGTACATTTTATAAAAAGGGATAGGTCATCTATGTATTTGGAATAGGAAGGAACACTGAGACCCAAAAGGGCCAAGAAGTATCTACATAAGGGATAGAAGTGGCAGCAGTAAGAGTGCGTGTATGTTGGGGGGGGAGGTGTCTGTGGAGGGGCAGGGGAACAGGCATAGAGATGGCCTATGTGTGCATACTATCACTGAGGGGACTTGTACAAAGGTATCAGGCTAAGGAGGCAGGGGTAGTAATGTGCATAGGGTTGAGGATATTAGTGGTGGGTGATGGCCAGGTCAGTGACAGGGGTCCATGGTGGCAATGGCTGCTGTGCATAAAGGTATCTCTATATCTTAGGGTAATGCAGTGCATTAAGACAGGCCTGATTTCCTAGCAGAAAGTCAGGGCTGGGGAGATGGGCAGGCAGAGGAACAGCCCTTCCTTAGGGGCTTCTCTGTGAATTACATTAAAATCTGATGCAGAGTTGACACTTTACAGAATGCCAAAGATGTAACAAGGAGAATTCTTCAAGTACCAGGGAGATGCCAGAGGCCAGAAATAGAATCCAGATGGAGAACCTCACTAGTTAAAACTTCACTTGGAAACAATGCATGTGTTTGTATAAGAATGGGAGGGGGGATTTAATAAATTCATGTGGAGGATGTTTTAAGTGATAGGACAGAGGAGGATAGGGAATACCCAGCATGACCCCTAAAGTGGAGTATCTGCATATGGTGGAGGTACATATTGTGAATGTAGAAAGGCTAGGTGGTTAAATCCTTACTATCTGCCATCATTCCTCCTGTGTGTGTGTATGTGTGTGTGTGGGGGGGACATGAACATTTCTGGTTTGTGTGCCTGTGAAAGAGAAGTGCTCAAGGCAGGGAGTGAGACTGGGGCCATTCATCGAATGGAGGGTTTAGTGTGCCTGCTTCCATGTATATACTTAGGGTTGAGAGATGGAATGTGCGGTGACACAGCCCTTCCCTAGAGAAGGGATGCTTTCGTGTGTGGATCTGGGGGGAAGACCTTGCAGGGAGAATGTATAATCACCAAGAGAAAGTCCACCTTGAGGTAGGTGTGTACATTTCTACAGGCATGGCCACTAAGACAAACATGTTGGCGTTTGTGTCTATGTGTAGGAGATCTAGGTTGTTTAGATATTCTTGAGTTTTTGGTGGGTTTGGAGCGGGGAGTGCTGTGAGAATTCTGGGACATCCAGACCCTCTAGGGGGTGTGTGTGTGTGTGTGTGTGTGTGTGTGTACATAGAGGGTAAGAAGGACAGTGAAGAATGTATGGTAGAAAGGAGCTCATGAGAAGTGATACAAAGATGAGCAAGGTTAGAGATACTGAACCATCTCAGTATGGACTGTCTTGGTGGGATGGATGGATGGACCGTGTCTGAGAACAGCTTTTCAGCATACTTTTGCCACCTCCCTTTGTTCTACAGAAGACATGCGATGGGACACATTCCCCTTAGGCCGAATGCCAGGTCAAACTGAGGACCCATCAGAACTTATGCTGGAGAATTATGACACCATGTATCTTTTTGACCAACCTGTGCTAGAGCAGCGGCTGGAACCCCCAACATGCAAGACTGGGTAAGTGCTCATGGCATAGGACTACTCACCCCCACTTCTCTGCTTCATGTAGGAAGCGAAGAAGGAGATAAAGTGAGACAGGTGGCAGAAGTAGGTGTCCCTAGTCTGGGCCTAAATGAGTAAAGTGTAAGCTCCAACCTCTGGCTGGGCCCTTGCCAGGGACTCCTTGTCCCTAGTGTGGGGAGTCAGTGAAACAGCCACACAGAACTGACTTGGCACCTGTGTTAGATTGCATCCACTTTGTGTGTAGGGGTGGATATGTGTGTATGTGTGCTTTTTGGGAGGAGTGGTTGGTGCCCATACCTTTTAGTAGATTCTCTAATGGATTTACCACTCCTAAAAGATCAAGAGTGGATGCTATAATTTAGCTGCCTCATGTTCCTAAGGAGAAAACTGAGGCCCTGAAAGGGTAAGAGATTTGTTCAAAGGTGCAGAGTAATTATAATAGTAGGCTTCCCATGTACTGTTCAGGCATCTTGGTAACAAGGCCAGCACAGGGCTCCTCTTTAAACTCGCCTCTGGATCACAGGCGTGGAAGCCCTGGAGTCATTAGGGAGCCAGGAACCAGATTTGCTAAGGGCTTATGTTGATAACACAAAAGAGCCCATCCGGCGGGACCATACTTTCTGGAATGCTGGGCCCTTGTGTCCAAGTGGATTCTATGAGAGATCTGTGGACCCCTGAAATTGAGAGGTCATCCCTATGCAAGCTGCCCATTCCCTGGAAATTAAGAAGACTATAGAACTCAGGGGCCCAGAAGCAGGACAGGCCCAAGACAGTGCTGTGGACTCTCTGAGTCCAGTGGGGAGTAGGCCTATTAGAGGAAAGAGATAGCTGGGAAAGCCAGTTGGTCTGTAGTTGGGACTAGGGTTCATATGTCTGGAGGAGAAGCTCTCTGTCCCCTCAGATCCCACTCACCTGGCCCTGGGTAAGACTGGCTCCAGGAGTACCAGTGTATCCATGATGAAGTGTAGGCAAGTAAAACTCTTAAGTCAAGAAGGAAGCTGATTTGGCCCAGCTTTCATACTTTTGTAGTAGGGAGACTTCCTCTTGCTGGAGCAGGGCCTTCCCATCGCCGCCTGTTTCAGCTTCACTCCTGACTTGACTATGTGGCTTTGGACAAGTCCTTTCTCATATCTGGGTCTCAATTTCCTTGTCTAGACAATTATTGGGGGAGGGATGGCATTAGATCATCTCTTAGGATCTTTTCAGCTATAGTAGTGTGACCATGGATCTACCTGCAGGAAGGATGAAGGATTTGCTCTTAACTATCACCTTCATCCAGCTGGAAGAACCTTTGACCTATAGGAAGGGTGGGTGGGAAAACAAGAGTGTTCTGATGTGGGCCAGGGAGAGAGAGAGGGTAATTGTCTCCCTATAGCAATCTTGTAATAATGTGATGGGATCTAGATTCAGCCCAACAGCCCAAACTCTAGGGCCTTAGAAGGAGGCCCTATTTAGGCAGCCCTTTTTTGTATCTTTCCCCTTCCCAACCTCAACCCAAACAGCTCTACTTTCATTTAGTTTATGTACTAGGTCTCTGCACATAGCTTCATTTGAAAAGTTCCACTTCTCTATCTCCCCTCTCTACTGAGGAAGAGGACAGAGCCACCTTGAAGCTCACCTGTCATTATTTCTCAGATTTTCTATAGTCTCTTTGCAAAGCCAGGCAAGTGTGTGGATCCCAGAGACACAAACATATCAAGCACCCTTGGCTCCTCCAGAGCCTAAAGCTGCCTCTTTTCCTGACTGACCCTCCACTCTCTCTGCAGCGTTCTGGGCTTGAACTGTGGTGTCAACAATGGTAATAACACCAGCAGCAGCAGCAGCAGCAGCAGCAGCAGCAGCAACTTTGAGGGCCTTCTCTGGAACCAGGGTCAGCTGCATGGGCTCAAAAATGGCCTGCAGCTCTTCTGATGCCTGCCCTGCCATGGCAGTAGCCCACCGTACCACCTAGTGCATCTGATGCTCCATGAGACACTTGGTAGATATCCCAGATGAGCACCTCAATTAGCTTTCTACTACAGCGGAATTTTGAATGTGTTTTGGTGTCTTTTTGTTTTGTTTTGAAAAACAATAAAGAGAGAACTGTAATTTTGGTATTTGTGAGATGAGGGGGTACGTCTAATATAGTTCTCCATTTACTGTGGGGGTACCAGAGAAGGTGGGATCACAACTCTGATTGGAAGCTAGGTCCTGAGACCCCTTAAGCCCACCAGGCATGACTGCTCCCACAATGAAGCTCTGCCCGTTTCTTTTGCCTGACTCAAACTATTTCTGCTCCTTTCAGCTATAGTATGGGGCCAGCTTACTTGGAAACATCAGGCCCTATAGAAGAAGTATGGTTGGCCACGGAACCTAGCCAGGTTTGCTCAGAGCCTTCCTGACAGCAGAAAGACCCAGACCTTCATGATGCTACCCAGCAAGCTTCCTGTTTATCTGCCTACCTGCCCTCACTGGGTACCAGTTGAAAGCTAGAGAGAAACCTTTGTCACTTCTCTAGTCTCTTGGCCTAGAAAAGATAAGGGTCTACTTCCTGTGGGGCATTGGAGCCAGAGAACTGTTTTAGGGACTGATCCGGAGCTCCTTTCTCTATGGTCACCCAGTCCCCCTTAGACACTCACCTCAACTCAGAATGCCTACCCTGTGTCAGCCCTGAGTTGCCAGGAAATGGGAATATATAAATCATTCACCCTTCAGGACCTTAAGCCCAGTGAGGAAGAAAGGACAAAGTCACCAAATTGTAATCTGATGACGCTTCTAAGTGCTTTAAAGGATTTCTGTAAGTTACTGTACCAAGAAATGAAGAAAGAGAGGGCTTGTGCTATGAAAGTGCAAAGGAGGAATATGGTGGAAATGCCATGCCAGAGTTCAATCGATTTTAACTTTGAACTGTTTTGGAGTCCATAACATCTGAAAGAATATACTAAGTATCTTTTAAAAAAAAATTTGTATTGCCGGAGGGTGTGTGCCTTCAGCAGAGAGAGGAAGAGAAAGTATGCCCCACAATGAGGCATGATCACACCACACTCTTTTTTCCAACATTTCTTCTTACCATCAGAATTTTGGACACGTATGCACAATGTGCCCAGCATGTTTCCAAGCTGCTGATGCCAGAATACAAATCACAACCAGCCATGTGGGATCCAGCTCCCAATGCACAATGTTTAATCACTGTGCTATGCAGCTGGCCCTGTTAAATATCTTTGTTGGGTATGTGTATATCTTTTTTCCAGGAAGCTAGTTCAGTTTTTATCAGATTGTCAAAGAGATCCATGAGCTCAATGGGATTAATATTTCCATTCCTATGTGGATCCAAGCATTAGGCATGAGCAAATCAGTCTAGGGCACTGTTAATGTAAAGCCAACTTCTCTCCAGTTCTTCCCTCTCCCCTCAAATGGCAAATGCTAAAAGTTTTCCAGCATCCAGGAATGTCAGCTGGATAAATCGTTAAAAGAGTATCTCAGTTCCCTGTAGTGAAGGGATTTGCAAATGTGTACTTTGACAGGTATTCCAGCACCTGCTCCATGGTGAGATGGGTGCTGCAGGCACTTAGGTTTCCTCACTACTTCACCAGAACAGCTCTTACTTTACTGTGTGGGAATTAGAATCCTGTGTAAAAGTTCCTTTGAAAGATATACTCCTAAAGAAAAAGCTTGAAAATCATAGTTCTAGTCTAGCCCCATTTCGTGCATTGAGATACTGAGACAGAAAGGGAGATTTGCTCAAGGCTGCAGAGAAAGGTGTTTTTTTGTTTGTTTTGTTTTGTTTGTTTTTATTTTTTTGTTTGTTTTTTAATTTGCTACAGGGTATGTGCACTCCAGACAGAAAGTGAGAAAGCACCCTGGAGGGGGGGTTCCATGCTGTAGTCCCTTTTTTTTCCCCACTCTGTTCTTGGGATTTTGGACACACATGCACACATGCCCAGTATGTTTTTCAAGCCACCAGGTCTGGAACTCAAACTGTGCAGTTGACCATGTGGGATCCAGCCATCTTAACCATGTCACCTGATGACCCCTAAAACTTTTCTTTCTGATCAGAGATCAGAGACTGATCTATTTGCGTATTTACTTATTTAGAGAGAGATTTTTGTTATAGGGCATGTGTGCTCACCAGAGACAGACAGACAGACGACAGCGGGAAATCATCCTCCTAGGGGTTGGCCATGCCATAATCCCTTCTCCTTCATTCTCCTCCCAGGATTTTGGGCATGCATGCACACAGGCTTAGTGTGAGTTTCAAGTCGCTGAGTCCGGGACTCAAACCACGGTCGGCCATGGGGTAGTCTAGTGACATAGCCGTTAATGCCATCTGCGGGTCCCAAGAGACTGATTTTTTTTAAGTCTTTGAATGGTACACATATAGCTGGGAAACAGGGATAGGGGTTGAGAGAAGGAAGCATGGATTATATTATTATTCAGCCATAATTGAGAGACCCCTTCTGACAGAGTAATTGGTTGAGGGTACCAGTGCAGGGTCCAGGATAATTGGAACATGGTGATGTGAGGTACTTGGTAGGTGATGTTGCCAGACAGGTGAACTTGTCAACACTATAGACTTAATGATAGGAGTAAAACCATCATAAGCTGAAAATATCCTAAATCAAAAAAAGGGCATTTTGTAGACATAAGGGTAGGCAAAAACAAAAAACTATCAAAACACACAATACGCTATGGAGTATTCATGCTCACTCTTGTGATAGTGTGGCTGACTAGGAGCTGAGACTTGCTGCTGCTGTCCAATATCATAAGAGTATTGCATGACATATTGCTAACCTGGGAACAACAAAATTCAGAATTTGAAGTACAGTTTCCTTTTTTCTTCTTTTTCAGTTTTTGCTATAAGGACACATGCTGTCTCCAGAAAGAGAAAGAGAGAGAGAGAAAGCACCCCCTGGGTTGATAACTACACTGCAGTTCCTTCTCCATGCTCCTCTTGGAATTTTGGGTACACACACATATGTGCCCAGTGTGTTTTTCAAGCTGCCAGATCTGAGAGTAGAACCACTGGGGCTAGAATAGTCGGCCACATGGGATTCAGCTGCCTTAATCTCCACACCACCTGACTGGCCCTATAGTATGGTTTCTAACAAATGTGTATGACTTTTATAGCATCACAAAGTTGAAAATTTATCTGTAGTTGATTTTTTCACCTCTGATTAGGGGAGAAGCATTAGACATTGAATTGTCCCTTCTTGGAATTCTAATTGTGCTTACCACTCTCATGCCACCACTGCCTTCCAAAAAGTTGTGATGTATTAATTTATTCTGAGTGTTCTTTTTTCCCAACTATAGTCCAAGTTCCCTAAGACAGGATCTGTTTCTTCCCCTTTTGTATTTCTATCCCAGTACAAACCAGGCCCTTATTTGATACTCAGAAGGAACTTGATATAGACAGTTCCCTAACTTGCAATTGGTTCAACTTAGGATTTTTCCACTTTAGGATGGTACAAAAGCAATACATATTTGGTAAAGATCATACTTCAAGTGCCCACATGACTTGTGTTTCACATTCAGTACAGTATTCAATAAATTATACAAGATATCCAACACTTCATTATAAAATAGGGTTTGCATGTTCTGGTTTCTCTTCAGATCATATAAATCTTTCATCTTTTAAAATAGGCTTTGTGAGGGCCAGCAGGTGCTGTGATGGTGGGGCATTGGACTCCCAATGGCAGACCGCAGTTTGAACCCTGGACCCAGTGGCTTGAAAGTCACATTGCACATATGTGTATGCATGCCCCAAATCCTAAAAGAATGGAGAAGGGATTGTGGCATGGCCATCCCCCTGGGGGGTGATTTCTCACTTTCCCTCTCTCTGTCTCTTACAAGTGCACATGTACTATAGCAGAAACCTTTAAAAAAATAGGCTTGTGTTAGATGATTTTACTCAACTGTAGGCTTAACATAAGTGTTCTGAGCATGTTTAACGTAGGCTAGGCTAGGCTGAGCTACAATATTCAGTAGGTTAGTTGTATTAACTTATGGCTCTTTTCAGTTTATGGTTTATTGGACATAAGTTGAGAAGCATCTGCACATGTATGTTTGAAGAAGGTGAGAAGAGGCAGCAAGAATAAAAGAGACAGAAAATGAGTAGGAAAGAGATAAATACTCTTGGTCTCATAGTGGATAGTAAAAAAGAAAAAAAAGAAATTTCGGGGTATTTATGAATAGTCCCTTCCAATGACTCCTAGGATGGGCTCTGCTATAGCCATTGTGGCCACCTCTGCCTTTTGAATGAGACTTAGCTGAGCACAGTTGTGTGTGCCTATAGTCCCAATTACTCAGAAATTGGGACAGGATAAAAGGTTCAAAACCAGTCTGGCCAATGTAGTGAGACCCTGTCTCTAGGTGGTAATAATTAAAAGAAAAACACACAGAATGAGACTGGACTGGGGTGGAATTGGGGATGGGTGGGAGCCTCCAGAGGCCTGAGGGAAGTGCTCTGTGATAAGGGCTTACTGGCCTGGGAGTCATGGAGTCTGTACTTCCAGCCTGCCTTTGCCACTAATTCTGCTCTGCCTTGGTCAAATCTCTTCAGTGCTCCTGGAGCCTCAGTTCCTGTACTTTATCCTGAAGGGTTGATGCAACTGAGCACTTTCTGAGTGTAAAATGTAGGCCACTAAGCCTTTCTAGTCCTTATATTCCAGCTAAGGCCCAGCAAATGTCTCTGTGGCCCTGAGGCTATTCAGGCGAGAGCTATAGGCTGTATACAGATATAAGTCAGCCCTGAGCCCACCACCTGGTTCTGACCCACCAATGGAGGTCCAGTTCTGCCCTATGGGAAATACCACTTTAGCTCTGAGAGCTACATTCATCCTCAAAAATTAGAGGGCATATACTGAATTCATATAATGAATTCATTTTAGGGAGGATCTTTGTCCTTATATCTTATCTCAAGATGCAAGTGGCAAGAATGAAAATTTGATGTTTTAGGTGAAAACTGTAATACCTGTATATGTATGTTTGTTATACCTTTTGTTATTGATGTTCTTTAAGAAACAGAGCCATTAGTGGTTAGTGGACAAATAGTTTATGCAGTAAATAAGTATGGTTACAATTCACTGGTGTCAACAATACAT